CCGTGTAGCCGCGCTGCACGGGGTTCGAACCAGCGGGGTTTTAAAAATGGCGGCTCCCCGCTTATGCAAATGAAGCCCGGGAAATTCAAATCCCGGGCTTCATTTGCAAGTGTGGTATGCCTACATTACCCTCCTAGTTCGAACTAGCAGGGTAGTGTAGACATACCCTTAGAAACTAACAAATATATCATGAGCTTTCATGAGTTAAAACCTACTTCATCAGATGAGTTGGAGTGGAAATTATAGAATCCAGTACATATAGATAACAGCAAAAGCAGTTACTTGTCAATTGTAGGGGCAGTGTTAATGATGCTAATTGAGCCAGGCTGGATGTGTCCAAGTCACAACTTTTGATGTGTAAATGCAAATATCAAAGGCAGGGAAATTGCCTTTTGTAGTGCATTAACCATTTAAGATCTTCACTCAAGCCCAAGTTGATAGTGTTAAATTTGTAAATGAATTCCAAGTTCAGCAAGCTCCCTCTATAATCTGGTGATAAAATTCCTTTGTAGAAGAATGGCTCCTTTTAAATACATTATTGAATATCCAAGGAGGTTAAAATGTTCCCCTACAGGTTTGTGTGTGTTACCATCCAAAAACTACGTAGTTAATTGAACCAGGCACACATAGGTGTGCACTTTTTGAACAAATATTGAGAAATGTACTGCAGGTGCACAGAACTTGATTTCCAAGAATGCATATATCAGTGAAGTAAAAATGAACTTTCCCTGGAACCTTATAAGATACCTCTCAAAGAGAATCAATTTCATACCAAATATCAACTTCCCAGACCCATACATTTTTACTGGAAAGCTGTTAAAAAAGATTTTATTTTCAAATAAAGTAAACCAACACTTCTGCATCCCTCAACCTAACTCTTATACTTGCTTGTGTTACTGTGACAAAACTTGTTGGTATGTTATGCAAGTATACCATTACATTTAAAACTTGGCACATGCATTGCGCTTCTCAAAGTGTACTATACTCTATTGTATAATAGATACTCTACCATGGCTCAGTACATTAGACAGGATTTTGGAAATCTTTTCCCACTGTTTGTTGATTCAATTATTGAGTAAAACATTGGTTTTCATTATTTCAACTTTTTACATAGATTGGGCCTAAAAAGCAGGAAAGTATTGTTACTTCCAACACTAACAGAGGCTTCACAGAGGAGGAGACTCATAAGTGAATTGCCTATCATGACAGAATGACTGATCCCTGGTCCCCAGATCAATGCTCTATCCACTGAAACAACGTCTAAACCCAATACATTGAGCCTAGGAAAGAAGAATCTATTTAATTGCTTACATACATGCTTTGACATGTGTGTTTTAGGTGGAGCGCAGGGTAGAGAGATGATAATCTTTTGCCAATAAATGGTGGATGCACACAGGGCTGAGGTAAGATTTTCTGTGGATATTTTTTGCCTCTTAATTTAAAAAAAAAAATAGAGAACACAAAAAACCTTACATATAATTCTACACAGTACAGAGTTGAGTGCCCTCCTATTTTCTGAAGTGACTCGACTCCCTAGGCTCTGAGGGTAACAGATTGATTGAACACTGTAAACATGAATCATGTGCCTTCTAGTCACCCACCCACCCTCTCCAGTTCATGAAGGGATTTGCAGGCATCAAAGCCAGCTACAGGGAGAACTTGTAACCACCCCTCATTCCTAGCCCTGCTGCATGCGTCTTGCAGCATGAGACCGGGAGAAAGGGAAAGGGGCCTCGTACAATTCGGAGAGTTTTCAGACACAAACACAAATAACCCAGCGACATCTTGCCCGAGCGCTGCTGGTAGGCGGTGGGGAGACGCTAACAGGGCTGCAAAGGAAACGGATAAAGGCAAGGGAGCGATCACCGCTTCGGTCTCAGCCCAGCAGCTATTTATAAAGCAGCAGCAGGAGAGCGCGGGCAGGAAAGACACCCCCACCCCCCTCCCCGCCCGCTTTCTGCGCTCAGAGGGAGATGGAGAATAAACCTGAAGTTTTTTCCGCCCGGGGGGGCGGCTTTCCGCTGGGGCAGGAGGAGACGCAGGCGGACAGCCGGACAAACGCAGGGTTGTTACCTAGCAGGAGGCGCAGCCCGCGGCTGGGCTGTGGCTGCAGGTGCAGAGAGATGCTGGCCCGTCC